CAACAAAAAAAAATTGTACTTCAATGTCTTAATGATTGACAAATGATGGATGACATATTTGTGTTGTTTTTTTTTTAAAGAAAAATAAAAAAGTTCTGTTTAAAGAAAAAAAAGGATTCAGTTACCGAGACAATGCATTTGTCTGGATTACTAACCAATCTGCATGCTTTTGGGGCAGAATATAAATTGATTCAATAATAGCAATGATAAACCATATATTTCAACATTTCATAGTTGAAAAGTGACAAGGGAGTTTTAACTCCCTTGTTCCATAGCAGCTTGATTTCACAACGCAGAGACGAAAGTAGGCATTGCTGAAGGGTCTGCTCTCTTTGCTTACTGTGAAATTGTTATGAACGATTCAAAATATGATTTGAACAGTTAAAAATAAGCCCAATGAACATGTGATATAATAATATGTTGCAGTATGCTTTACTTACAATTGTATACGTGCTTACAAATTAAGAACTGGTATGTTCAGTGGGGCTTACTCTCTAATAAAAATGTCTTAAGTGTTTGAGGGTTTCTAATGTATACTGCACTAAAAAGGAAATGTCTATGCTGCTCTACTTGGAGATTATGTTGTTTAAAAATGGAAGAGGACTGGTTAATATTAATAGCAATATAAGAATGTAAGATAACTGGATCTTAATTAGACATTCTTCACACTAAAAGCAGTAGAAACCCAGGGCTGCAATTGAGAGGGGGAGAGAGATAGAGAGAGAAGGGAGAGAGAGATAGTACAGAAAGAGCAAAGTAGCTTATGTTAAACAATGCAACACTTTTAGAACTTGATCTTAAAAAATAATTTAAAGCATCGAAGAACATCAACCATTTTTAGGCACTTGTTTTAGAAAAGGAGTTTGGAGCAGTCATACTGCTCTACTACCAGAGTGGAAAATCTGTGTACTGTATAATATAGCCTCTGTATTTATTTTCTCTTGCCTGGGATTCATTAATGAATGTCATTAACGGATGAAAGTGTAAAAAATAGATAACCAATGAACACATGGAAGCATTGAGAGATATATTTTTTTAGATCAACAGAACCTGGTATACATTGATGTAAAGTCAGTAATAGATACAAAATCCATCCTGTTTTTATCCATCATTTCCTTCTAAAGAAAATAGATTTTCATTGGAAAAATTTATATCGGAACAATTCTATCAAATGAAAAATCTCTTTAGAACAATTAGAGCAAAATCTGTCTCAGGTAATACTGGGATATGCTCTAAGAATGCAGCTGACAGTGAGATAGATCTAAAGAGTATCTGTCAATTGTATGATTGTAGGCAGTCACATATATTCAGAATCAAATGCTGTTTGGGGCAAAATGTAGTTTTAATGTGATACCTTTCTTGGAAAATTTTTTTGATGAAAATGTTAATAGTACATTTAATTAATACCTAAAAATATATATTCCAGTGGTTTATTTTAGATTTGTTTTTCTGTTTTATGTAAAAGTCCATTGAAGCGTGAAGTTTCAGAGATGTTATTTTCTTATGTTTAATTGCATAAGTTGGAGAACATTAGTGGAAGAATGTAAGAATATGTGAACATATATTGAGGAACATATGCCTATTTCTTAGCAGTTTGAATTTTATTGAGATATATGATTTATAACTGTTATAACATATTGAATAATGAACACCATAACTAAAAGAAAAAAAAATGAATAGAGTCAGAAACCAAAGTGAACTTTTTGTCATAATGTTGGCCAAATATTCTGTGAAATTATTTTTGACAAGTTAATTTATGGAATGAAAAAGCCATCATTATGCCATTAGAAAAGGGGGAAATTGTAGGCTTAAAAGAACAAGGAAAGAGTAAGAATAACATTGTTAACTTGGATAAATTCAAGTATCCGGAGTCAGATGAATTATATCCTAGATACCTAAATCTTTAAATCACCTAAACTTTCAACCCAGTGCTTCTATATAAACCACTATGCCTTTGCACACTATCTACTTGCTAGTGCTTCCTGCATGTAAAATATGAGTAATATTTGACATATTTTTTTAATGATTGTACCGATTACTGTTATCATGCTTTTTAATTGCATTTAGATTACATGCTGTTAGCATGCTTCATTAACATACACAGATTTAGTAAAGTAAATAAAATGAGATTTATTATAAGATGCTAACGTGATCCTAGAGCTTGGTAGTTTTTACATAACTTCATAATATCTGGAGGAAACCTGGATAGTAGAATTCCTAAATCATTAAAATAACAATATCCAAATATGTTGATGTTTCATTAGTATGAAATTCACTGAACTAATACTAATTCAAAGATATAAGAAGATGAAAAACAAATATAAAGAAGTTTTGCTTCCCCCCATGGACTGAAAATTTCACATTGCAGCCACATAGTTTGATGTCTTCTGCTGTAGAAGATTTGCCTTGATTCTTCATCATTCTGAAGCTCAATTGTTTTTTTCTTGCAGATTAAATAAGTGGTCTCCTACTGTGCAAATGAATAGATTTGCAACCCTAACAAGTATTTTCAAATCACTTCAATATTTAAATCAAATCTCAAAGTCACTCCTTAGTGCTTACAGATGAAAGAAAAATTCTTCTATCAAAATCTGAGTAGGATGTTTTTATCAAATTCATGCTGAGAAACTATGCAAAAACTACTGGTGTTATGTTTAAATAACTCCTGCTTCACAATGGAATTAAACTAAATTGATTAAATTGTAATTATCAACTTGAATTTGCATTATTCTCTTCGCAAATATTGAATTTTATCATATAATTTAGGTCAGCACACAGCAGAAATGGAATCCAAATACTCCAATAAAAAACGTAGTCATACAAACGTCTTCTGAAAGTCTGTAGCATCTCAGTGTCAAATATTGCTCTAAAGTATTAAAGAAACTAGGAGAAATGATTCCAGAACCATGCACAATGGTGTTTGAGTCCTCTTGGACAACTAGGATGTCCCAGAAAACTGGACAAAAGTAAACCATTTCCCTACCTTCAAAAAGATGACAGAACACCTGAGAAATTATAATGACAAAATCAAAGTCTTCAAATAGATGATGATGATATTATTTTTGTGCTTTTGAGTCAATGTAGATTTCTTGCCTGGACAAGTCATTGTAATTTTCTTCACAACATTTCAGAAGTGGCTTTCTTAAGTTCACCAGATTGGCTTTGTGCCTATGATGGGACTAGAATTCAGGTTTCTTCTGGTTTCTAGCTTGATGCCTTAACCACTTCACTAAACTGGGTCTAAAACAGAGTATTAAATGGCAATTTTTTGAACATTTGGAAAGAAACGCAATATGAGTCAAGATGGATGTCAAAACAAGTAATGCTAGATTATTTTTAAAAGATGGGGAGGGGGGAACTGCTTTGGATTTACTATATCTTGACCTCACCAAAGCTTTCAATAGTCTCTTAATATATTATCATTACAAAGTAATTGTCCTTACTAAAGTAGTAAAATATGGGCTGGATTATACAATTGTTAAAATGAATTAATAAGTGGCTAAATTATCATATTCAGAAAGTACAGTATTCATAACTGGCTCCAAACCAGATTGGAAGCTATCATTACATGGATCAACAATTGTATTAATCACGTGGTCGAAGACGGTGATGATCAAATCTGCAGAGGAACACAGCAGTGCTTGAAAAAAAGTGTTTAATAAAACAAATAGTCATAAACAATGGATTGAAATGAACGGGATCAGATTTGTTTGTTTGTTTGTTTGTTTCTCAAACATGTACAAGATAACAAGCACAGGTCTGAACATAAACATGAACAAAGGAAGTAAATACAGATAAATGAGGACAGTAAGACAGGGATGGTAGGCACGCTAGTGCGCTTATGCATGCCCCTTTATGGACCTCTTAGGAATGAGTGAAGTCCATGGTAGACAGTTTGAGATTGAATCTGTGAGGTTTTGAGGCTGTAATAATGGAGTCAGGTAGAGCATTCCAGGCATTGACCACTCTGTTGCTGAAGTCGTATTTTCTGCAATCAAGTTTGAAGTGGTTTACCTTGAGTTTGTATCAATTGTTTGCCTATGTATTATTGTGGTTGAAGTTGAAGAAGTCATTGTAGCAGACAATTTTGTGAACTATGCTTAGATCAGACCGCAGGCAGCACAGTTCCAGATTGTCGAAGCCCAAAATTTCAAGCCTGGTGGCATAGGGAATTCTATTGTGAGGAGAGGAGTGGAGTACTCTTCTTGTGAAATCCCTCTGAACCCGCTCAATGATGTCCGATATACAGTATGGATTCCAGGCAGATGAGCTGAATTCAAGAGTTGGTCTGGCAAAGGTTTTGTATGCCCTAGTTAGCAATACAATGTTACCAGAGGAGAAGTTTTGCAAAATTAGGTTAACAACTCTTAATGCCTTAATGCCTTTTTGGCAATGCTGTTACAGTGAGCTCTGGTGCTTAGATCATTTGAGATGAGTACTCCAAGATCCTTTACAGAGAGAGGATCATCTACAAGATCATTTCCGCCCAGCTTGTATTTAGTGTTTTGATTTTTGTTCCAATGTGTAAGACAGATGAACCTGATTAACAAATTCATTTGAATCACAGGTCTCTGCTGCCTAAAGGATACCACATTTAAAACTGAAATAATTCCTCCTTATAATTCAGGACTGTAAAGAAGTTCTGTATCCACATTGAAGGGCGAAATCTGAGAAGTCAATATTAGATATCTAAATGTAGAAGTATACAGTAAATGAAAAAGGGGATAGAAACATCAAAACCGAAAGATCTTGATTACAGTTGTGAAAGTAAAAATAAAAAGCCAAACATTACATATATTACATTGTAATGGATTTAACAATTATATCTGTCATACAGCTGAAATCTGTATGCTTCTTTTTTTATATAGGTGTGCCAAGAAAAGAAAGAAAATGATTAAAAGAAAATGGCTTCTCTGATCCTGATGACCCCCATTGTTTGTTTCTTCATTCTCAGTCTTAAATACTTGGATGGCTTCTTGCAAAAATGATGCAGTACTTAACTTGGCAGTGAAATTCTACATTCATTCCCTGGCTACCAGGTCTTTTCTTTTTACTTATGATGGTAAGTTTTTTTATTAAACTGTTAGAAGTAAGTAGGTTTCTCAGTTTTGGTGAACAGATTCTGGAAAGAGCACCAAATAAATCAGAGTTGTTGCGTGTTCTGCTAGAGTATATGAAATGCAAACTATTTTTTGGCTGAACAAAATATTTTATAAACAAAACTTTTTCAAATCACTCTAAAATACAAATAAAATAGGATTTATTGAGACAAACAATAATATCACTTTGTTAGCATGGGATAATTAGTTTCCTCTTTCCTTTTCTTTATCTTCATTATACTTCCATTCTTCTCCCTTTTATAAAACTGAATCATTCTCAGATATTATGTGCTTGTTTATTTGTTTCATGTATCTACCCATCTCACATACATGCCTGTTCTTTATAGAAAATTTCTGAAAATGCTTATTCAAGAAGCAAATTGTCAGAGATGAATCACCTTGATCCTGGTTGCTAGATGAATAAGAACTGTTTCTGAATGATGAGATCATGCAACTATTTACACCAAATAAAAATAATAATTTATGAGACTATATTTTGATTGTGCCTTTAGAATACTGCAATACTGATCTTGTTAGTATTGTCACAAAATGACAACCTTCATAATTTGCAGATGTGGGCTCCAAACTAAGAGATGAAACAGTGAACTGCAGTGTCTGATAAGCTTACTGAATTAGAGTTATTTGGAATTTGTAAAACAAAATGTTGGTATATGGGTTTATCATCAGTACAGGAAGTCCTCAGCTTATGATCAATTGCTTAGCAACCATTCAAAGTTGCAATGGACCCCACCCAAAACTACTTTTAACTCTATTCCAGAGATCCCCCCCCAAAAAAATTCTTCTCACAATCACATGACTGCATTTTGAGTGCTTGGCAATTGGCTAACATTTATGGCTAGTTGCAGCGTTCAGTGATCACATGACCATGTTTTATGATTTGTTTTTACCAGTTTCCAGGTTTTTTAATGATTTATGTCAAAAAAACTCTTATAGAATGTATTGATTCACTTAACAACCACAGTGTTAACTTAATGACCAGCACAAAAAGGTTGTAAAATTGGATCTCATCATGTGGGTGTCTTGATTTGTGACAACCATGACTTACGATGAAAATTCCTGGATCTATTGTGGTCATACATCAAGCAACTTTATTTTTGACAAAATGCAATAGAATCGTATTATTTCTGTTTGAAAAAGCAAATTACCTATATAAATTGTTGGACTTTTCAGATTAAACAGAGTGACCAACTCCATACAGTTGTAGAAAATGCTACAATATGCTAGATAATCTGTGCCCCATTGGCACAATGTTTCAGAAGTATTTCAATATCTAAACAGAGAAAGAGATTGACCAAGGCTGGGCAAAAAAGCTGTGAGAGTAGGAGTTCCTGATTTCCTGCTGCCTTTCCCATTTATTTTCCTTATAGGAAACTGGCAGGAAGCATTGAAGATCTCCCTTCCCTTCCCTTTCTTTCTCAGCAGCAGATAAATAGCTACTACTAGGTAGGGGCGAGAGCAAGAAATTGTAGAACTGACTAGAAATTGTCATGAACATTGAAAATTGAAATTACATGACTGCAGCAGTTATGTAACAGCAGTCAATAATACTGAACCAGCCAAAACTTTAACAAATTTCATTCCTTCAGGAGTCATGGGTTCTGGATTTTGGACATTTGAGGCACCTTGTTTCAAAAATTGTTGCCCTATAATGCATTGTTTTATCCAGTGCAAGGTCACAATCATGAGACTTTTAGCATTATGTAGAATATTTGTGGCTTCAAATCGGTCTTGATATATGATGGCTCCCTGGACAAGTATCTGCAATTTTGTAGTCAACATTTTCAAAAACGCCTTGCCATTGCCTTCTTCCTAGGGCTGAAATAACGACTGGCCCAAGGTCATTCAGCTGGCATTGTGCCTAAGGCAGGACAAGAATTTATCATCTTCCCATTTTTACACACAATTTTTAATGTCTTGGTTAATTTTGCTTTCTTCTTGTAATTTGTTTCCTTTTTTAAAAAAATGTGTTTTTAACATTTTGAATAAAATAAAAAAATGAAAAAAAGAAATATTTTAAATACTATAGTTCTATATGTGTCAATTTAAAATATAAACATTTCAAATCGTATATGTAAACAATGGTGCATCTCTAAATATTTGCCATTCATTTGTCCTTCTGTAACTAACACTTGATGACCTCATATAAACATGAAAGTAAAACAGAATGCTGAAGATGGCAGTGGCTATATTGCTATTAGTTTTATATATAGGACAAAATGTGTTTATTGTTAATTATTTGAAATGTAGGTTTAATGATTGTGGATTGAATTCTAGCAGATAGTGAAATCACCAGGTTTTCATGTGTGCCCATGTCTTCCTTAATACCTTGCTTATGCTACAGCCAGCCTTATTGACATATAATCTTTCAAATGGGCCATTTGAGTTGGTAACACTGTACTGAAAAATAGCATCCATATTAATTAAGCATTCAATAAACAAGCCTTTCTCTAGGGCCCATCTTGATTGTGTCACTTTTCAGATACCAGTTCATGTTCATTTCTGTTGCATCTTCTTACACATCACATTCATAGTCCTCATTTTTCAATGTGTATCAGTCACCAAAAAGTTGTGGCTTGTTAGCTGTTTCTCTAAGACATCAGTTCCTTTGCAACATAATTTTGAGCATTATTATTTTTTGAGGCAAATCTGAAAAACAGTTGTAAATGCTGTACCGCTGACAAATTCATTTCTTTTTTATGGAAAAGAAAATACTCCAACTCAGTTGTGCCATGCTCAGAAACTGGGAAAGAAATGTGGAGGTCGCTGACATGGAATTTAAAAAAACCTTGTTCATGAAAATTATGTTCCAGTCAATTATTTTAAATACTAAATATACTTGTAAATATGATAATAAAGTTTTACATGTCAAGAATATTTTTGGCAGATTGTTATTCTGTTCCAGCTTAGATGTTTTCTAAGGCTCTTTTTCAACTGCCTGTTTCTTAATGACCCAGTTTTCATAACTGTGTTCAAGATAAACATCTATCTAGTCAAGTGGCCAAGACTAAGGCTGCTTAGGCAGCCTTACACTTAATTAATCTTGATTATATTATGAATTTCATGCTATATATAGTACACTTTCTTTTTCTTTTCTTTTCTTTTTTTTTACTGTTTGGAAGTTTCTGTCACTTAACTGTCTAGCACTGAGGTCATAGCTTTGATGGATTTCTGATTATGTTGTTTTTTGAAAGTATAACCTTTAGAAATATTTTTTTTCTTTTGATTTGATTTTGAAAAAAAAATGTTGACATTATCCTGAAACTTGCATATTTTTTAAAATAGCTAATTATATCAGCAGGGGGGAAGAGACTTATACATAGTGGTGGGGGGGGAATGCCATGGCCCCTGAAGAGAAAAATAAATATTGTTTATCACCAATAATATAAGGAATTCCAGTTTTGTTGTTGTTGCTGTTGTAGAAAGAAGTCATTATTTGGGATTGCAGTGGATGTGCTAATTGTGATGTAGAAAAATAAGCATAATATTTTTCCACAAAATGGATAAAATGCAGTTTCTTGAATTGTCTCCTTCCCAACAGTCACATGCTCAGTGGGAGGGAGCTCAGTTACTTAGCAACAATAGGGTATATCTGTTCAGCTATAAAAGCTTACTGGTTATGCTGGACCAGCTGCTTTCTCCCAGCCTACAGTGGCTCACAGGACTCTTTTGAGGATAAACTGCTGGTGGGAGGCTCTGTTATGGCAGTTTGAAATCCATGGGACAAGTGGTGGGGAATAAAAATGTATTAAAATAGTAATTATTAAGACATTTCTTGTGCAATTAAAGATTGCCTTGAATCATATTATTACACTTACCTATAATTGTTTATATGTGCCATTTGTTTTTGTTTGTAATTCTCATTCTTGTTCAGAATGCCACTTCTATCATTTTTCTGTAGGCAGCCTAACAGAAATAAATTGCTGAGTGTCACAGCCAGTATTTTCTTCGATGTCCCCAAAATACGGGAAATAACTTAGAATCAGGCTAGCTGGCAACTTTTCCTAAGTAGTTTCTCTCTTTCCTGTGTGGCATGACATGAATTTCTGATTTCTTTTCTTAGACTGTTTCCTCCACAAGCTGGCAGCCATATGAACCACTTAGTTTTTATTTTTGGAATTGTTGATTCTTTTTATTCTATATTTATTTAACGTATACATTTCAGTAATTATTTCAAGTGGTTTACAAAAAATGAGGACTAATACGATTATATAAAGAGATACAAACATAAAAATACAGCCATGGCTCATTTGCTAAATTACCCTTTGAATGGGATATAAATTAGTACAGTTAATCTTGTTAAAGGTAAAAAATATTTTCAAAGCTAAACGTGAGAGCAATAGACAGATTAGCACTCCCGTTAAAAAATTCAATATCCTTAATTTACAGACTCTCTAATACTATTCTGACCTAGAATGAACTACATGCTGTAGATCAGTACCGTTCATTAATCATCCAGTTGACCAATTTAGAGAAGTAAAGCACTCTAGTGCCCACAGGAAAAGTTCATTCTGTACCATCCTTTTTCTTGGGAAACAGAGCAGGGAACAAAGTCCAGGAAACACATTTAATTCCTCTGTTGGAAAGAAAGACAATGAATAGCACGGAAACTTGCTTTGCCAGAATCTATTTTATGCTGCTATGAATTGAATTTTCAGATTTGCAGAAAAAAACCAGTTTTCTTTTTATGTATATTATAGTATTTGGAAACAATTTATTTTGATCCCAATAGGGAATTATAGCACTTGCCCTTGACTTGCATGGCAAATGTAGAAAAACATTAATACACAATCCAGTGAAGTTACTTCAAATGGTACATTCTCTAATCCATTTAGAAATGGCTTTTTACTTGCTACCTTTTACGTATGCTAATATAAAATGAAAAACGGTTCATAAAAATAGCTCAAGTGATCAAAAATGAAACCATGATTCTGTGAGACTAAAA